CACATGTCCATTTCAATACCATATTACAGCACCATTTCTATACTAGCCATTTCCTTCCCCACTCAATTCCAGCTTGAGTGGCCAGGAAACAACAGATAACGGCTATAAAATTTGTCTTTTTTCAATTTAAAGGTATAGCTGACAAATAAAAACTGTATATATTTAAAGTATGCAACAGGATGCTTTTGTGTGTTTGTCTTATGAAATGATGTCCCACATGAAGCTAATAACATAGCCATCACCAGATGTAGTCATACTATTTGTGGGTATGTCTTTTGAGAACACTGAAGGTCTAAACTCTTAGTAAATGCCAAGAATAAGAGACATTATTATTAACTTTAGTCATCAGGCTGCATGTTAAATAGACTAAAACCTATTTATCACCTTACGTAATTGAACTTTGTAGGTTTTCTTTTACCAACATCACTTATTATTTTTTTGTAGACCCTCCAAGCTCTGGAAACCATTGTTCTACTCCATGATCCTGTTAGTTCATTCTTTTAAGATTCCTGTCCTAAGGTTTGATTGCTATAGCATTAGAATAGGAGTATATATTGATATATAATGAGAGGTATCATAAGACCTTGTGTATGCTACAATAGTCATGCTGTGGTATTATCTTTCCCATTTAGCAAACCTCACCTTAAAGATAACCAGGACATTAAAAGATAGTAAAATTTTTGATGGTAAAATTACCTGTATACTTGTGGCATTCTTTGCCCCCAACTAGTTCTAGTCAAAGAATTTATACATCTAGGTTTTAGTTGGTAATTTTTAAGTTTAATTTTTATTATTGATATGTTTATGCACATGTAAGTGCAGGTACTCAAGGAGGCCAGAAGAGGGCACCAGATTGCCTGGAGCTGGAGTTACAAGCAGTTGTGAGGGGCTTAACATGAGTCTTGTGAACTAAACTGGTCCTCTGAAAGATCCGCTAGGACCACATGTTTTAGTTTTGGTCCTGCCACTTACTATTACTCTGACCTTGTATAACCAGTTTCCTTCTCATCTTGTCTTGGCCATTGCTTTCTTTACATGTAAAATAGGGATAATACTACATTCCTTGAAGCCTTCACAAGGCTATTATAATTACTATATCAATAATAATGTTCTTAACAACAACAATTAGTATACCTGTTATTACCTTTGAGTGCTAACCTCTATAATTATTATATCTGATCACATAATAGCTCAGAAAATATTTCTATCATTCCCATTTTACAGGTAAGGACTACAAATCTGAAGAGGTGGAAGAACTAGCCCAGGTTTAACTGGCAATATATAGAAAATTGAGAGCAGAACTGGGACTTTGGCCTCTTCTCTTGAGCCCAAGTGCTTTACCATATAGCAGGTGTGAAAACACACCCACAATGACAAGCACTGTAAGAGGTGCTAGCCTATGCAAATTCAGGCCTGACTTCAGAAATGACTCAATTATAAAGAAGTGAGTTTCTTGGCTACTCTATGCTTCTTTATGAGCTGGAAGGTATTTAACCTGACCCCATCCCACGTAAGTCACACTCACAACTGTGAAAGGTAGGACATGAGCACAGTTTCCCAGAACCTTATTTACTTCATCTTTGAAAGTGATGCTTTTTTCCACCAGATTGCTTTAGGACTTTATAGGAGGTCAGCTGTGACAAAGATGGCTCCTGACTGAAAAGGTGTGAGCAGTGTCAGCTTCATCTTGACTTAAGATCGGAGAATTCAAAACTATCCTTATGCTTCCAAGGTTAAAGTCCTAAGACCTAAAGGTCTAAGGTATGGCTACTGTAGGATGTTTGATCTAAGACATGGGTATCTTGTGTAAATAACAAGAGACTTGGTCTAAGGTGTGGTTACTTTTAACCCTCAAGGTCACATAATGAGAGATTTAGTCTACTAAATGTTTGGAAGATTGCGGAAGTAAGCCTCTTTGTTCCTTGTATCTTGATAAAGAAATCTCTTGTCTTTCTCCCCTTTTTGGTTTGGGTATATTAGAATGATGAAGAATAAACTTGGCTGTGGTGATACATTATTTATTATTTACTAAATCCTGCCTGAAATTCAGAAAATCAAAGCAGCCAAGCTACCAGAGAGCTCTTACCTCTTACAGGGCTGGGATGTTCCTATTCTCAATGTAGCTGAAGAATGGATGCTCAATACTGAGACCTTGCTTCTGTCTTATATACCTCTTATGAGTCCTGGGATTGAAGGTGTGAGCTATAATTCTCTTTTTAGACTGATTCACTCTTGTGTAGATCTGGGTGGCCTTTGACTCACAGAGATCTGTCTACCTCTTAATCCTGTGTCCTAGGATTAAAGGTGTGTGCCACCACCTGCAGGCTTCCGACTGCTAGGATTAAAGGTGTGTGCCTGGCTTCTGTGGCTTATAGCTGACTTTGCTTTCTGAATCCTCAGGCAAGTTTTAATAAATAGTAAATAATATATCACCACAAATCCCCTTTTTGTCTAATACAAGCTTTAATAAATCATAAATAATATATCACCACATTTGTCAAGTTCAGTGATTCACTAGATTGCCTTCCTGACTTTATTCTGTGTCTCTATCTTTTTCCTTAGTATCTTTACCTGCTGCTTCTCAATCCATATTCCCCCTTTCAGGGACAAACTGGGAAAGTCAGCTGGATCTGACTGAAGCCCCCCAAAGATGTGTGTCAAGAGATGACCAGTCAACATGGGCCACAAATAAACATGAGTTAATACAGATTGCACCACAATATGGAGCAACTAAAGATGAAAGCTACAGATGGCACCCAATGTGGGGCACAAAGACCGGTTACCACAGATGGCAACCACAGATGACCCCACAACATAGGACACAAACAAATCCAGGTTCCTACAGAGCAACATGGCTGTGGGCATGTAGATGCATGCTGAGGCCTTCCTGGATATCTCCTGACATACCATGCAGAGATTTTCAGTGCTGGGATGCTGCTTACTCCACAGGGAAGCAGGAGGCTTCTAGCCCTCTGCTTCTGTTGCCCTTCCTCCTGCCCTCTTGGGGCTCCCAACTGTATGCTCAGCAAAGAAGGGCCTTTTGTGGAAGAAGGGGAAGAGAAGGATGGGAATGAGAAGGAAGTAGGAGGAGAAGAAAGAGGGAGAAGGAAGAGGGAGGAGAAGGAGGGGCCCTTCGAGGAAGAACCTGTGTGCTAGCTAGTTTTATGTCAACTTGGCACAGCTATAGTCATTTTGGAAGAGGAAGCTTCAACTGAGGAAATACCTCCTACCCTATTGGCTTGTGGACAAGTTTGTAGAGCATTTTTCTTAATTAGTGAGTAATGAGGAAAGGCCCAGCCCATTGTGGGTGAGAGCATCCATTGCTCTCTGCCCACACTCTCCTGGGTTCTATAAGAAAGCAGGCTGAGCAAGCCATGGTGAGCAAGCCAGTAAGCAGCTCCCCTCCATGACCTCTGCATCAGCTCATGCCTCCAAGTTCCTGCCCTGTTTGAGTTCCTGTCATGACTTACCTCAGTGATGGAGTGCAACCTGAGACTTGTAAGCTGAAATAAACAGTTTTCTTGCCCAAGGTGTTCATGTTTATGGGTTTTATTATAGCAACAGAAGCCCCAAGACAGCCTGGCATACCTACTTTCAGGCCCTAGGCATGTCAAGAAAGGGGTTACTTTCTCTACTCACTTTTCTTCAATGATGGTCTGCCCGTTGCTTCTGGTTTCTTCAATAATGAGTTTCTCTTCCTCAGGGAGTAGTAACTGTGGGACAGAATCTTTACGAGTACCTGCAAAGTGAAGATTGCCAAAGAGGGGGTGGAGAGTGATTATCAGAGGCTGTCCTTTCCACTGCTGTTACAGCAGCAGCTTTCTTCACATCCTTGCATTCAGAGGACAATTGTGCCACTCAAATGGTGTAATATGATTTTCAAGAAACGGGAGTTGGTGTGCTAAGAACTGACACTGGTACCCCATCTCTGCATTCCTCCAGGAATCCCACACCACATTCCATGATCGGGTGTTCTTTAATTGCACTACTCTGGGCTCAACGGGCTTCAGAAGCAGCATTTGTTCCTTTTGAAGTCCTCTAGGGAAACGTAAAGTGACTTAAATCTATTTTTGACCCTGGGTACAGTGGAGCTGGAAGATTATCACATCATCAACAAAACACATGTATCTTCATTGCTCTCTGCCCACACTGTCTCTCCAGCTTGGGAAAGAAGAGGTGATAGGTAGTTTCAACTTCTCCACAACTAATTCTAGAGCCTTCCTCTCTGGGCTTAAGGGCTTAATCTTCACTTTGCCTGGGTCACCAGCCTGTTCTGTTTCAGAAAAAAATCCTCCAGAGGTGTGCACATTCACTGATTTTATTAGATCACTCCCATCTTCCCAGAGGTGAGATGCTTCCATGTTCAGTGAATAGCTCTTCTTAAGTATTTAATTAGTATGCAGAAGATAAATGGATGGATGGATGGATGCATAGATGGATGGATGGATGGGTGGATGAATACAGAAAGCCAAGAGCAGTCACTTCTAGGGAAATAGGACATTTGACGGGGGTGAAATGGAGGGCCACTGTGCTGCTGAAAAATGTTGGCTACATCTGAATGTTGAGAATACTTCCCACATGTACAAGGGAGAGTAGGAAGGAGGAACCAAACTGTGCCTCTTTTGGTCAGATCACCTCTGAGCTTTCACCTCTAAGCACTTGGATGGACTCTGCATCTAGGAAAATAGGTGGTGCAGAGGTGAGGTAAGGTTGGATTTTGTATGAGGGATACTCTTCTGGTGTCTCCTCACCCCACCTCCATCGTAGCTTTCTCAATAAAACTTCTCTTTCCTCTTCCAGCTCATCAAAACTTGCTATTAGGACCGAGCGTGCCACAAGCCACAGTCAGATTACGCCTGTGGTGCACTTTCTCTGTTCACAGTGAAATGTATTGATTTCCACATCAAGTGCTCTCCTCTTGTGACAGCCTGTGAGATGTGCTAGCTTCCAAGAGTGTGTGTCAAGGCAGTCACCTAAGAAACCCCTCTCATAGCAAGGAAGCAGCTGGTCAGTAGTTGTGAAAAACTCCAGCACTTTTGGCCATTTGGTCCTCATGCAGACATGAGACACTTTCTAAAGGGTGTCCTATATGTATATGATGATAGGGAACAAAATATATAATCTATGTGACCTACACTGGAGAAAAACACAAGGCCTTGCCAGAAGGCATCACCTAGCTTTCAGGGTACAACCTGAAAGCTGTTCAGGGAAATACCCTCACCTAGCAGCTCCTTGAGACATTTTATACATTTTGAAGAGCCTCAGCTCTAAGCAGCTACATTTCCAGATTTTCAGAGCAACTTTGAAACCTAAGTCTGGTGAAGCATCGTTTACCTCAATACATAGCTGATGAAAGATAGTATTTTGACTTCCTTTCCAATTCTGCCTATAAGACAAGATTAGCATCAGTTCACAGACACAGGAACTCTCTGGGCTCTTTAATTCCTAACTAGGGCTGGTGGAGGTATCTGGGTAGATCAAAAGAGAGCAACTTTTAAAAAAAAAAAAAACCTTTTTCATTTCTATCACCTCCAACTTTTTCCCGCTTGCATCTATCTCTCTGTCTCTCTGGGTGAAAAGCAACCGTGCAGAAACACAGCACCCAGTAGCTAAAACTGCCTTATCTGAAAGATTCAGTCCTGCGCCTCTGCTCTGCACTGAGTCACGTGCTTTCCATGCCCTGCAACTGATCTGCACTGATGGTTTTTTATTCCCCCAAGAGACAGTGAGAGGCAAAGAACAAACCCCATTCATTAGCGGAAGCAGTGTGAGGAATTCTACTTGAGCCATTACCTTGTTGAAAATTGGCGCTTGTGCAGTAGGCTTCGATCACCTTAAGGATCTGAGCATCCTCTTCCAGAGCGGCTGTACCTGTCAAATTGAATCAGTAATGACTTCTCATAGACATATGACCCTGGGACACTCAAAATGATGGTGTGCCCATCACTGCCAAGGACTCACAGTGTTTCTGAAAGGCAGGCAAAATTTGTTAAAGCCTCCTGAGACAAGTGTCACACCAACAGTAGCCCTGAGAGCTCTGGGGTTAGTACTCAGGGAAGAGGCTGCTCCTGAAGTTCAGAACTCGAAATTAGTGGGGTCTATCAGTCATCCCTTGAAGGCTAAAATTACGGCACTGGGACTTGGCGTTGGCTTCAGTGCTCACTCAGTACAACAGTCTGCCTGACAATTAAATTCCAAGGCTTGTTTCTTTAAGAGCTTTTCCCAATTCACCCCACCTCACTTCTCAACCAGCCAGTATATCACTGGTTCTCAGTCTTTACATGCTCAGCTAGCAACATTGCACTAATAAGTTTGGTTGTGGATAGGTTTGGGATTGCAGGAATTGGAGTCCAGCAAAGATTTATTATTAATATCACATTATATTATTTATACTATTATAGTATCACATTATGACAGGGTCTCATGTAAACTAGACTGATCTCTAACTTGTTATGCATCTGAGGATAACTTTGAACTTCTGATTCTCCTGCTTCCACCTCCCAAGTGGGGTTTACAGGCACATGCCTCCCATGCCTGGTTTATGTGGTGCTAGGGATCAAATTTTGGGCTCTGTGCTTGCTTGGCAATTACTCTGTGAACTCAACTATGTCCCTAGCCACAGCAAAAATTCATCTAAGCTGGACTTGCTGGTGGTACACACAGTGCTGCTGCATGACTAGCTCATTGTTCATGATTTTAGAGCCAAATACAGGCATCTCACTTGACTGACTGACTTTATCAGTTCCCTAGATAACGTGATCTTTCTGGATGTCAGCAGACTGATTCCTCGGCCAAATGAGATTTTCCCTGAGCATTAGACTGCCAGAAGGACTTCTGTCCTCAAGTCCATTTAGTCTGTTTGTTCAGAAACATATCCCAGGCATCAGAAAGGGCAAAAAGGTGTCCATAGCAAACTGGCCCCATTGGGGGGGGGTGTAAAGCAGGTGGGGTAAAGTGTTCTGCAGCATGAAAATGACACAGATTGATGCCTGTCAGCATCAGCAGGAAGTGAAGCAGAGGACAGCTTACTCAGAAGTTTTAGGAGTGACCAAATTTTCCACGCATTTTTACAACAGATGATGCCAAGAACAAACTGCTCTAATTATCTGCTTTTAAAAATTCTCCTGTTAGTTCACCCATAAATAACTTTGCAAAAGTACAGAACACATACTTTTTCTAATCACGTATTCTTCCTCAGATGCTTTTCGCTCAGTCTTTCTTTTGTGAAGAAACTTCTTCATCGTCTTGGGGCTCTTACTAGATTCCTGTAAGGATAATGGTTTCTCCATGAATTAACATCCTCTCCCAAATACAAATGAAAATAGAGCCAATCAAATGAATCCGAATGCATCTCTCATTGTGATAGCATCCATTAGGAAAGTGTCAGAATTTTAGATAACACATACTAAAAATGGCTTCAGGAAACTTGAAAAGGTTCAACAAAGCACAGGCAATGACATTCCACTCTCAGTTGCCACAGGAATGAGAATAAGAATGAAGAAGGATGCAGATTGTGCAGGAGGGTCAGTGCCTTTAGGGTACCATCTGCAGCAAGAGTAATGGGATTTCAACACCAGAAGAGTACCAGCATTCCTAACTTGGTTGATGTTCCCCATGGATAGTTTGGCAATGTAACTACTGCTAGAACAGTTATCCCTTTCCTAAAAATTTAAAACTATTTGAGTAAGTTTTGCTTAAAAGAAGTACCACAAAGAAAACTATAATTCCTATCAGTCAAATAGGAAAATGACAGCGGAAGACTATGTCATTTTCTCAGAAAGGAGAATTTTGTGAAGGGTTTCCTGATAGATAACTTTGGGTTCTATAGCCAAAGCTACACTTTTAATTAGTATACAATGGAAATGAAAAACAAGTGACTTCAGGTTTTGCCATATGTGTAACTAATACAAAAAATCAATGTTAACACGAAAGTAAACAGATTGGTCTCTTAAAATCTTACACTTACAATCCCAAGATACCACCCTGATATTACATGTTGTCCATCATATATATATATATATGGTTGTGTGTGTCTATCTTATACATGAATAATAATTAGTACTTTAAAATATATGAAACAAATACTTTAATTGTCTTCACTCAGCCACAGTGGTCCACTTAGACTTGAAAAGAGACAAACATGAAAAACCATACGTGCTTAAAAAAAAAGAGGAAAAGCTAGTATTAAAAACATAGGAAAATGGGCATTTTAAAGGCATGATATATAAAGTGACATTTTACGCGCATCAAACACAAGCCTGCTTTTGAAGAAAGTACTTACATGTCAGAATTGCATCTTCACATTTTAGCCACCAATTATAGCAAGGGACAAAACAAGCATAAAGGAAAGCTTCATTCATCAAAGGTTACAGCACAACAACATTACGATGTCACTGTTCTACCCTTACCTTTAAGATATAAGACATCCTCTAAAATGAATATGTAAAGAAAGAGAAGATGAGCGTGAGAGGTCGATGGTTATTGTGACCAAATCCATTTATCAATAATTCTAAAACAACATTTGAAATGTTAGTATTATCATAAATTACATGGAGAGAATATCATCACATTTCCCACATTAGTTTCAGATGCAATATCCTCATGCAAAAGTCCAAAGAATCCAGTTCTGTGCAGAATTACAAATGCTGAAAAATCACCGAAATGCACAGTACATAGCAAGAATATATTAATAACTTTCTTCCCCCAGCAGAAACATAGTGAGCATGCCTTAGTTTTAATAGATTAGTTATGTGAAAGATGAAGTCAACTTTACCCTTCAGAGCTCTCCTTGGTATGACTTTAGTAACTGACAGTTGTAAAATGTCCATTATTAAAAAAAGGGAATAGGGGAGGGAGAAGGGAACTGAGATTATGTAATTCAACCTTGTTTGTAATTCAAAAAAAAAGAAAAAAGATATCAAAAAAGGGGAATAGGTTACTATGAAGTGGCACTCGTAGTTTAAGTAATCAAAGAAATCTGAAAGGTGTAGGTCACTCTCAAAGCAAATCCGTGGAACCACTTCCTGCCCAAATTCTCAATAGAGCTACTTTAGAAGAAAATGCTCGAGTTATGTCCCTATCGCATCAGTTGAAAGGGTTAAGAAAAATCCTCCAGTGTCTTTATATTGTTCCATTTTATTGCACTTAGAGGCAGAGGCAACAATTAATTGGAGCAGAAGCGTGGTTGATCAAATCAAACTACACTCCAAACTGCAAAAAGTCTCCAAGATCAAAACACATGGGACAGAGAATTATACATTGCCTTTACATCAAAATTGTAAGGTTCATTTCATAACTGTCAGCAACTTACTCTTCATACAACAGGAACCTAGGACCAGTTATTAATAAGTGAATGTCTTTCTGAATTATGAAATAATTAGAAGTAAGTAAGAGGGGGAAGCCCTCACTGGGTGGAAAAGGTAACACTTGTGCAGCTATGGGAGCTAGTGACTGACATGCTTTGGCTGCACTGCTAGAGAAAAGGACCAGACACTCTGGCCATGGTGTATCTTGGCAGCACACTAGGCAAACATCAAACACCCTGGGAGGGAAGCTGATACTGGGAAGCCTCTGCGTAAAAAGACATTTCTTTCATGATGTTCTTCTCTCTTTCCCACTACAGCAGGGATTTCTTTCATAGTTGAGATACACGGCTTGGTCTCATGACACTTTACTGGTTGTGTTTCATTGATCAACGTGAAACAAAATGCAGAATTGGTTGTTTGATTGGACATGCAGCTTCCAATGAAGTGTTTCTTGTTTGAGACGTGTGTACAGAGTTAGCTAATCTAAGGAATTATTGTCACCTTGTAGAGTAACAACAGAGGCACTTAAGGAACAGACTAGGGAAACAGGCAGTGCACTTGAACTCTTCAGTTCTATCAATGACTGCAGATGGAGAGCAGGGAAATGGAAAATTAAGAAACAATCACTGAGTCTAGCAATCAAGAGTGATATGTATATGTATATGAACATACATATCAATATATATCTTATCATAAAATCTAGCATATTCTCACTGAACTATTTGCAATAAGCTCCAACATTAGCTCGTCAGAAGCATTTTATACCATATGTAGTAAAATTACCTCTTTATAACCTAGAGCTGCTGATGGTCTAAGTGGAGGTGCAGGTCGTAGGCAACTTAAACTCCACGGTTTTATAATTTGAGGAGGCTCCAAGGGTCCTCGGGGCTGTCCAGTAGAGCTAAAAGACTGGGAAAATATCTCATGAGATGCTGGCAATCTGCCATCTGAACCCGACCTGGTACCACCCAGTGAGAGAATGACAATAGCTTCATTGGTTCAGCAAAGGCAGACATGAAAGGGGAGGATGGAATAGTGAAAGTGACCAGTTGGAAAACTAACAGTTGCTAAACAAAAGTATGGGGGTTCTAAGGAACCGCACAAAACGGACTCCGTGTCCCATGATCCTGTCCTATCTTTTCTGCAATTTCATTTAAGGTAGAAATGTTTCCTCTGTAAGGGAGGAAAGTGGAACAACAGAAACCATTTGAGTTTCGGTGATGTGTTTGGCACTCAATTATATTCTTAAGTGGGCTCTTTCATCAGAGTAAACAACTACAGACTCAGAAAAGCGAAGTGACTGGCTAAAACTCGGCAAAGATAAGATTTGAACCCAGATTTGTTGCCAAAGCCTGTGTTCCACCACCACAACACACAGCACTCAAAACAGGAATATTGGCATTACAGGTTTGAGCATTAACAGACAGCAGAGGAAAGCTTCCATTTCACCCAGCAAGTACAGTAAAATCTCATCAATTCCAACTCCATAAATTCTAGATTTCTGAGAACTCAGATGACAATGCTAAGTGTTTACCTTTCCAGGCAGGTTACTTAACAGATGTGAAAGCCTGGTGAGATTATGTGAGGTTGTTTAAGCATTCAGGGAAGTGAACTACTTGCTTGGACTTAGCACATGATTAAGATGACAATAACAGTTAGGAAACGAGTAAGCCTTGTTTATCATTAAAACCTCTTAGAAGGTCCTCTGGTAGGAAACACTTGACTATCAGTTAAACAGAGTACCTTAAGACTGCTGACCAAGATCACACATACTTAACTGCAATGTTTTATTAATTTTAATGAGCTTCACAATGATGAGAAATCAGAATTAGTGAGGTTTAACTGTACTTCAGAATCTACAGAGACCACCCAAAGTCAAAGGGCATGCTTGCTGCTGGTTTTTTAGAAGTCTTTAGCAGGCAAAGTCTGACAAAATTTCAATAGTCCCAATATTTCAGCAATCCCAATACTTCAACAATCCCAATACTTCAACAATCCCAATGAACTACTTACAGATTGAGTACTACATGATGATGATGATGTCTTAGATAATGAACTGCAAGAGGCTGGTCCTCTGGTCAGTCTGTTCAGCTGCTCCAGCCATTCCTGGAAGTCCTGGTTATTGTTGCAACAGACAACAATTCTCTCTATCACGTTACCTGTATCACCCAATTATGAACATTTAGGACCAAAATACAAGGATCTTTCTTACAAACACACTTCTTTTGGGCATCTATTTTCAAGTATCTTCCTCTTTATGAAATAATCCCTCCAAACTTCAATATTAGGAACAGGGGAGTTGTGATAATATGGTAAATTATTTATTTTTACTTCTAAAACTGTTCTTGATTTCTACCCTTTGCAAAATATTGGATATAGTGCAAAACCTCACAATAAACACACTTGCAATCCAAAACCTTAAGTGTACTGACTGGCCATCTAGTCCATACATAGCTTCATCTAAGAACATTGTACTGCTTTGCTCAGTGTCCAAGAGGGAACAACATGTAGATGAAACCGGTTGAAAAATCTTTAAGCAGGTACCAAATTTTAGGCTCTTTATTGAGGAGTACAGGTTTTGATAAGGTCCAGGCACATTAACACTGCCATCACCACTGTGGCACACATGTAGAAGTGCAGCCATTACAAGTAAATCACAGAGGCCCAGCAAAAGGGACAATAGGCTAAAATGTCAGGGAGAATCATGAAGATTGGGCTCAATTTCTACAGAAAGCATCATGGCTTCTTAGAACACAACTATGCCTTGCTAGTTTATAGGCTACTAAGATTGGTGACAAAACCCACATCTTTGGCTTCTAGACCACCGTGCACCACATGACAGGGAAGGAGACAGTCAGTCCATTTTGTTATTCTCTAGCTCTGACAAGTAGGTCTTACGCAAGAGAAGATGGAAAGTAATGGCAGAACCGAGGCTATTAAATGACAAGGAAGCTTCACTGTTTTATCAGTCTGCTCTAGTTATCACAGAGCATAGAATGGGCTTTGCCATATGCCTGTAAAACCTGCAAATAATAGCATTTATTTGTTTAAACTCCACTTTATTCCAAAAAGGATTTGAAGTAGCTACATGAAAAGGAGAAAATTACCTACCTGTGATTTCAAATGTGCAGTCATTCCCTTCAATTTCATCTAATCTAGTCACCACCATCCCTGCTATTGGTATTTTTCCCTAGCAGAAAAAGAAGATTCTTATTAACTCTATGATAGTACATATTTCTCTCAGACTTTCGATCCTCTCAGAAAGCACATAGATAGACATATTCCACTAGTGTGACAATATACAATGCTTCTCCAGTCTACATTTTAATTATACAAGAAAGCAAGGGAGAAAAGTGCATTTTGCTAATACACCTTAAACCTAAGCTCATGATTTACAAAGCAGGTGACTTTCTAATGTATTGTCAGATGAATTGAAAAGCAAAGGCTCACATTTTATGAAAGGGAGTAATGGCCAGGATCACATCTAACAGAGAATCATAGCATAATAGTCTACATTTGGGAGCCTGAGGGAGGTTTCATTCCTTAAGGCATTTAAGGTTGCTTCTTACAACCCAAGTCTTATAACTTCACTGCAATATTACAATTCCAGGATCAAGTCCCAGCTTTGTGTTTTTTCAGCAGTAACAATACGGGTCTGTAAACTGTTGCTACTAATTTATCCAATTATCAATTTAGATTTCTACTATACAACTGGAAACCTAGCTCATAAGCATAACAGCAGATAGCCAGGACAGGATGATATGACTGCAATGGTCTTTGGCCTCAAGAACATCTGTTCTTACATGCAGTTTCATTATAGTGAAGAGTTAAAACATTCCACCTTTGCCAGCTTGAGCTTATAATGCTATCATCCATATACCACTTCCGAACAGAAGCCTGTTTTCATCTGGCCTTTGCTAATTTGTCTTATATGGGGCTACTCACCTGGTAGATAAAGCCACTCATCCGAGGACTTGCAGACAACATGATCAAGGCATTTGAAAACAGCATGAAATACCGTTCCTCTTTTTCCTGAAGCAGAAGCAAAATCAGGAAAGGAAGAACAGCAATTGGAGTGCTTTTTTAGGACCTTCTGAAAGCACTGCTTCGAAATACAGGCCCTACATAATCACCAACCTGAGCATCGGCAGTGTGTTGTGAAAAGACAGCCAACTCAAAAGCGCCAAACGAGTATGGCCGTTGCTCCCCGTGTGTGAGAAAAAGAACCCACACAGATTCTTCGTCAGTGTCACATGCTAGTTCGGGACACAAATTAAGTCTCTCAATGTTCCCAAAACTGAAATCTAACTTAATTTTGAATAGTAGCAAAGTGAAGCAACTTTCAGCAGATAAGAAATTTATGGTCGGCTACAGCTCCTGGGAATTCACGGACTCTGGACCAACAGCTACAGAGCCTACATGGGACTGACCTAGGCCAGATGAAATTGAAAACTGCGTGTGTGTGTGTGTGTGTGTGTGTGTGTGTGTGTGTGTGTGTGTGTGTGACAGTGGTGTAGCTTGGTGTGTTTGTGGGGCTCCTAGAAGTGGGACCAGTGGGGGAGGGAATGGGAGAAGAGGAGGGAGGGTGGGGGAGGGAATGGGAGAAGAGGAGGGAGGGAATACTGTGGTTGCTATGAAAAATAAATGAAAATTTTTAATTAATAAAAAATAAATTTATGGTCTGCTAATATTCTCAGTCATCAAATTATTTCTAATCATGAATACAGGATAATCATGGGCTCAGTGGCTAAAGTACCTGTGCTCAAGCATGAGGGCCTGGGTTAGGATTCCTAGCGTCCATATATTTGCTTATTGTCTACCTCTGGCCTCCAACCAAATGCACATATATGGAAAAGTCCATAGACACATACACATATAGAGAGATAGTTACTGTGTGACATGTAAAACAAGGAAGTAAATATATTTTTAAAATTTGGTGTGGATTATTTGGTGTCTGTATATGACACTGGAAATACAATGTTGGACCTTATACATACTAGATCCTGTTCACCACCAGCCCAATTTAATGTTTTTTATTGGCACATAACATATTTATACACATTTATAAGAAACAATATGGCATTTCAATTCATGCATACATTGGGTAATGACCAAATCTAAGTTATTAGCATATCTACTATTTTAAACTTTTATCATTTCTTCATGACAAACTCAAAATCCTTGATAGAACCAGTGAGATGACTCACTAGGTAAAGACTCGTCTGACAGCAAGTGTGATGGATAATTTGAAGACCTGAATTTGATCCCCAGGATCCATGTGGTAGAAGGAGAGAACCAACCCCTACCAGTTGTCTTCTGACCTCCACATGTGTGCTTGAGCACACACATGTGCATACACAACATACAAGCAAATGTATAAACTACTTTTAAATAAAAAGAAATTCTCTCTTCTAGTTCTTTTAAGATTTTTATAATGCATTATTGTCAACTATACTTTTTGATTGCACTAAAGTAAACTTAGTACATGAGGGATGCTCTGATCCCCTTAACAGAGTCACAATTAGTAGATAAAAAAATTTCATCTTGAGGCAGAGGCATGCAGATGTCTGTGAGTTAGAGGTCAGCCTGGCCTACAGAGCTAGTTCCAGGACAGCCAAGGCTATACAAAGAAACCCTATCTTGAAAAGCCAAAAAAAATTCTTTTGATACAATTACCCTTTCAGCTATCCCCTCATTCTCCTTCCCACTGAATAGAGTAAACCTTCAGAGCTAGCTGTTGGGACAACCGTTATTCTCTCAGATCTTTCTCTTGCCTAGTTTTCCTTCTACAGACATCACCCTTAACAACCTCTCCTGTTTTACTGGGTCCTCCTCTTTTGCCTTTAACATACTCTCAACATCTTAAGGACCTTGCTCATAATATCTCATTTCTTGACATTTGATTGCCAAATTACTCGCTGCCTTCATTTTCTGTCCATTGATTCCTCCCTAACTGCAATTCCCCCTGCTTTCTCAAAGTCATCAATAACTGCCTTCTAGCAAAATCCAATGGCTTTTTTTTGCCCTCACACTCCTTGGCCTCTGAACCTTCCATAGCACTCAGCTTGCTGGCCACTTTCAAGTACTCTTCCAGGCGTTTCAATGACAACACAGTCCCCAATTCTTTTCTATTCTCCTAGCTGTGTCACCCACTGAGCCCCACAATGGGTTCCCCTCCTTTCATCCAAGGATTTTATCCCTGAGATATGAATGACTAATAGTTACCCTCGATGCATTAGCCTCCCCCAGGGCACCTGCATTTTCAATGAGATTGCTTATTAACCTGAAGTAATGAATCTCTGCCACAAGCACATCAGAGAGTGTATGGAGGTGTTTATGCAGAGGGGAGACAACACGAACACCCAATAAATCACAGCAGGCGACACGATCAACCATTCTCTCCTATCCTGGCCTCTTCCTAAAAGAAATAATCCATCTTGAACCTCTGTGCTTCTCTCTGGATATGTACTTCCTAGAAAAGTACATTTGTCAGAGACATCTACATCTCTGTCTTTAATGCCGACCTCTCACCTACATTTCCATAGTACATTAACAGCTGCTTACAGAACATCTACATGCAGACACCCAGGGTCTTTTGAAAGTTAGTGGGTGTAGATTATATCAGCCATCTTCTGTATCCCATAAGCCACCCCTTTCTGTTGATATTACCGTTTAAATGTGTCTCAAAGTTACCCTTTATTTTCTATTCCCTCTGCCCCTACCCCAGTTGACCTTGACAGAAGTACAAATAAAGGAAGGGAAAGACGAAAGAAGAAATGCTGAGGACTTACATCACAGGTTCCATACTGCACCATTACTTGTGACATAAAGATCACATTTCCCAGGGTCTTAATATCATCTCCTTCCCATGCCTGAATAGGTTCTGAAAGGATCTGCAATTCCAGTTGTTTTCTCTTTCGCAGTTCTTGGCACTGCCCCTACAGATGTGAAACAGAACATGGTACAATAAGGATTCAGGTGAGACCGGTGGGGAAAGTTCTCAGACCCAAAACGAGTTCCAAATAAGTTACGGCTTTAGACTCCTTGCTGCTCACTGGATCTCTTTATCCCTTACCCTGAATTCTATGGCCATCCATGCTCCTGCCAGACAAACACATCCACTACCTAGCTTTGATCCTCCCAACATTATAAGAAGAGGAGATAGCTTCCATTTTGCCAAGGAATGAAGATGACGTGCTAAGAAGGGGCTTATTGCTCCCTCCCCATGAAGAGTCTGTACAGACAAGGAACAGAATCCCATCAAGTAGAGCCAGGACAGTGATCAGCCCTTCACTGCCATGGGTAAATAGGACTGTAATTAAAACTAATTTCATATGTAAGATGTATGCTCACTCTCCAACAAAACTGCAACTTGATGGTAAGAAAAACAAACAAAAATTACTGTCAGAGTTTTGAAAACAGAGAATGGCACTGTCCTGACTTTGTTTAGGGAGCAACAGTACCTTTTAAAATACTAAGATTATTTTTATTCCCAAAGGGATTGGGGAAACACGGATACAAGTGGATTCCATGATGATCCCATTGGAAATTCAAATCAAGAAACAGTCTTCGAGTACTATGTGGGGTATGAAATACATAGATATAAAACCTGTCTCAGAAGAGTAAAGTTATCTTAGAGTAATTTAACAGTACTCATTCCAAAATGAATACATGTCTAAGCAAATGGTCCATTGCATTACTTTGTCCACATGAAGGTATAATACTTTTTGTGAATAATTTCTTTTCTATAAAAATCTGTTGCATCATCTAACCAAGACTTTAAGAAATAAATACATTATGCAGATTTTAAAGCATATGTATTTATAGTAAATATATTACCACCATCAAAGCAAGTTTTACAACATGACAAAAAAAAAGACACATTTGCTTTCCATTGTTGGAGGGGTGTATTTTAGTCTTGGTTTGTTCAGACAGGCTCTTACATGGCCCAGGCAGGCCTCAAATTCACTATGTAACTAAGGCTCTGATTTTGAACTGACTCTCTGTCTCCCAAGTGGTGGTGTCCAAACATGCCCTACCATGCCTGACAAACTCTTGAATTTGTTGTGCTGTTTGCTTGTGCTGCTTTTCCAAAGGCCTTCTATGCTAATTTACATAAGAATGAATAAAAGAGGTACAAGTTCCAATAAATGCTATCCCATCCATGGGTTTGAGTGAGCTGTTCTACGAAGTTGAGCCATGTAAAATTGCAGGTATTTTTACTACTTTTGCCTGACAACAGGTGCAAATTTATCACAATGCCTTGCCCGATCTTTAGTTTCCCTTTAAGCACTGACACATCAGTTACTTATCTTTCAAAAGCAAAAAAAGTGGAGTGATGCTGAATGCTATGGAGTAACCTTCTAGCAAGGATCAAAAGCTAAACATTGGTTCAAATCCCACAGAATGCTTTAGAAATGTCAAACATATCTAAATTTAACTCATTGCTCAAAATAAAGGGTATTTTTTCCTTCTGAAATGGCATCAAAAGGTTTTACATCAGCAGGTTCAAGGAGACAGGCTAACGTTGATACTCAAGATGCAAGATTATAGCTACCTCTGGTAGCAATCTATATTAAGCAGTTTCATTTTAGTACATTATGTTTTTCCTGTTAGGAAGGATTCCCATTTCATATGCAAAGAACAAATTCATATCTTTTGGCATAAATAGTGAAATCCAGTATTGATGCCAATCAGTGAATGACATAGGGTGAGCAATGGGGGTAAAGAAAAAGAAAAAAAAGGAAACCCCCACCTACACACCAATGCTTAATGTGGCCAAGACTTTCAAATGTGATTGCTTTATACCCGCAGTCTGGTGACCTTTCATAGGCAAGCATGATTTGTGGAGAACAAAAGCAAATGTAAGAATCACAGAGCTACTGTCCTGAGAGTGCATTATTTCCATCCTGAAGACCTTTGCTTAAGGAAAGAAATGTTACACACAAATCATTCTTTCAGGAACAAAGTATACAAAATGGAGAATGACAATCTGAAAGTGTCACCTACCATGAGTGCTTTGAATGATACGATTGCTTTCAGAATGTCTTGATGATCCGGATGAGTGTCCTATCAAAGGAATACATTTAAAAACAATATCAGCATATGCATATATGTATGGAACAACATTAATGAAAAAAGAGGCCATGAGTGAAAGAGAGCTAGAAGGGGTATATGGGAAAGTTTGGAGGGAGGAAGGAAGGAGGAAATGATGTAATTATATTATAATCTCAAAAATAAAAGAAATAATTGAAAATAAAGAACAAAAACAGTATTAGAGGAAAATGGATGCTGCCACGGATGAGTGGAATGAACATATGGCCCCAAAGGGATAATAAGCACGCGCTCGTGTGTGTGTGTGTGTGTGTGTGTGTGTGTGTGTGTGTGTGTGTGTAAACAGACCAGAAGAGATGGTATGTCCTTCTCTGCATCTGGATTCCAGTTCAGTTCAGTGATTAGTTGTGGGTGTCGGCTTCTACTTCCACCAGCTGCTTGATGAGGGCTATCAGGTGGCATATAAGTCAGTCATCAATCTCATTATCTGGGGAGGGCATTTAAGGTAGCTTCTCCTCTGTTGCTTAGATTTTTAGCTGGTGTCATCTTTGTAGATCTCCAGACATTTCCCTAGTGCCTGATTTCTCTGTAAACCTAAAATGTCCCCCTCTATTATGGTATCTCCATTCTTGTTATCATCTATTCTTCCCCTGACTTAACCTTTCTGCTCCCTCATGTCCTCTGCATCCCTCCTCTTCTCCCCTTCTGATTCTCCTAGCTCCCTCTCCCCCTTCCCGTGCTCCCAATTTGCTTAGGAGATCTTGACCCTTTCCCCTTCTTCAGGGGACCATGCATGTCTCTCTTAGGGTCCTCCTTGTTTAACATTATATTTAATAACAACATAATAGGTATCAATATTGAAGTAAGATTTCCCATTTCCCTCACCAACAAATAATGGACTGCACAATTTTTGTGAGCTTTTATTTGGTTACAGTTTGATGGGTTTGTTTTATTCTTTTTGCGTATTACTGAATTTTGGTTTCTAGGTTGGAGGGGCTGTTTTTTGAGAAAAATTGTTGGATGGGTAGGAAAGGTGAGAGAACTTGAGGAAGGGAAAGAATCTAATCAAAATATATTTACATTTAAAAAATTGTTTAAAAATAATTAATAATAGGGCTGGAGAGATGGCTCAGAGGTAAAGAGCACCAACTGCTCTTCCAGAGTTCAATTCCTGGAATTGAGTCCTGAGTTCAATTCCCGGCAACTACCTGGTGGCTTGCAACCATCCATTATGAGATCTGGTGCCGTCTTCTGGTGTGCTGATATACATGGAAGCAGAATGTTGTATACATAATAAATAAATAAAATCTTTAAAAACTATTTAATAATAAATACAGTCACTAAATAATTACTTGGAGGGCCATCACTGATCCTGTAGTGTACCTAACATTGAAGTATATGGACATGTTGGGCATGCCTCAACTCACCTAGGGGTGTATAGACACATGCACCCCTGAATTCAGCTGGAGAAATGAGAAGCCAATTCTTCTCATCCAGTCTCGTGTAGAAAACGGGGTAGAACAACTGGAGATCTGACTCATGCCACAGGCAGGATTGTTCATGAAAAGTCAGTGTGTATTCTTTCATGGTAAAACTTATCTTAACAAGCCATTAGAAATGTGGCGAGCCTGAGAACGGAGTGTACCATCTGATGGAGGCAATCAGAATGAAGTCAGAGCAAATGTGACCAAATGGAGGCTGCGCTAGAAACAGGTGAGGGAGTCAGAAGGAGGAGCATCCTAGGCCTGGGGGTTTCTCCCCAGCTTAACGGTGCTCCTACTGCAGCAGTGTGCCGCAGCCCTGAGAAGTGACAGTTTCTGCATTTTTTGTGATAAGGAAGAAGGGGTAAACCTCAGTCTAGTGAGCTGTCTTAGTGTGTGGAAAGGCATCCAGAGGTTAACACCTTCCAGAGTCCCAACTGAAATTTCATTTTGGCAGCCTTTACTTACCAGCTGCCCACTGCCTGCAACTTTGGGGCTGTTCAAATACCCTGAGAATGTGCTCTCACTCAGAGAGGGTGCTTTGAGTCCCTACAAATGCTGACAAGCACAGCGGCATGGAACCTTTTTCTTTAAAGATAACCAAGCCCTTTAAAACCTCAAAACCTTTCCCCAGACACAGGAAGAGCAACTAGGGTAAACACAGTCTTTCCCACCCACGTCTCCACACCCATGCAAGATCATGAAAGAACAGCTCAAGGCAGTGTGACTGCTTATAAAAAGCACAATGGGATCGGGGTAATTAATATTCAATTATCAGACCCTGTTGCAGTTCCTAATATTTAGAAATGATTATAGCTGTAATCCTTACAAATAAAATGTAAGTTTATTAACAGAAATGCCAGGGACTTTGGTGTAGATATATCGATGCAGAGTGATACAGTAGTATCGGACCCATTTATAATCTTTAAGGAATGCTAGAGTCAGAAAACCAAAGGTCTACAGTGTTTCTATCTGCAACAAACTTATTTTTATATTTCTTTTCTTTTTTGGTAGGTCTCCATGTTTTCTGGCATTGGTTTGCTTTTTCTATCACAGTAATGTTAATACACCAGAACAATAGAGATTTGTAGGTCTGATGGCCATTGAACCATCGTCCATTCTCAACCTGTGGGTTGAGACTCCCTTAGGGTCAAATACCAGACATCCTGCGTATCAGACATTTACATTACGATTCACAATAGTAGGGACATTACAGTTATAAAACAGCAATGAAATAATTTATGTTGGGGGTCCAGTACAATATGAGGAACTGTACTAAAGGGTTGAAGCATTAGGAAGGTTGAGAACCACTGCTCTACAGACAAGATGACAAAAGAAAACGTAAGTCAATAAATGAGCATAGTCTTGAGGGAAGCAACAGGGCTGAGGCCTGGAAGAGGAGAGGGAAGAGGGGGATAATGCTAACTGTGTGGCGGGACAGAACGGGCATCTTCTTTTGCTGCATAAAGAGGAATGCTAGACTCGGGGAAGAGGAAAGTTCAGATCAAGTAGAATTTGAAACCAAGACGTTTTCAGATTCTTAGCAAAGCCAGTTTGGACGCAGACCATCTGCTCTGTGCAGCACGGAGGACACCAGTAGGCAGAGGACTTTGCTGAAGTTTGACTTCCCTTACCTCCATATGTCGTTCCAGCTCTTGCAAGAGAGTAACATATTTTTCCAGTCGCATGAATGGTTTGCTGAGGCTTGTTGTTAAAATAAGGAGACCAGGGCTTGGTGCACCTTGATTTTCCATGAATCGTTCTAGATCATCACTAGAGTTAAAAAAAAAATGGATGCACTTTCAATACTGCTGAATATCAGATGCCAAGTATTGACTTACTGTATTTGTATATTTGTATCAGTCCCCAGACTAATAGCTGGGAAACCAGCATGGGACCGATCCAGAACCCATGAATGTGGGTGTCAGTGAGGAGACCTCGGAAATCCATGGGGCCCCTGGTAGTGGATCAGTATTTATCGCTACCATAGGAATGCACTTTAGGAGCCCATCCCACATGGAGGGATACTCCCTGAGCCTAGACACAAGGGGGTGGGCCTAGGCCCTATCCCAAAAGATATGACAGACTTTTAAGACCCCCCCTATGGAAGGCCTCGTCCTTCCTGGGGAGCAGAAAGGGTATAGGATGAGTAGAGCATTAGTTGCGGGGGCAGTGGGAGGAGGAGGGAAGGGAGAGGGACCTGGGATTGACATGTAAAATAATTTTCTTTAAAAAAAAAACAAAAAATAAAAAAAAATGTTAAAAAAAGATAAAACCTACTTCATAGTAAATCTGCTCGGATTAAACTAATAGGATTTGTAAAGTTACAATTTTATGTTAAGCATTTCAGTACAGGTGTTTGTACCATTTTACAGTTGAGAAACCTGAGGCCCAGGAAGGCTAACAGCTGGTAAATGGCTATGGTGGACTTCATATGCAGGTCTCTAGCCAAACCTTGGGTCTGTCCAGAAAGTCACCCTGCCTCTCTACAGAAAGGGATTCTGTCACCATTAGCCAGCAGATACATTATTATGGCCTTTGCAAGACATGTGTATGCCCGGAGTCTTAACTTTAAAATTTCCTAGTACCCGTGATCTGCAGCTTGATGAATAATCAGCTGATGTTTAATTCCCAAACATGAGATTAAAGAGACATAAAAAGTCATCACTTATAAAATATAATTAAGAAAGAGCATTTGAGCAGACATGTAATCTGAAGAAAATAGCTTTCCTAATTTCTTTTCAGTTTGGTAAATAAGCTTTGTGTTTTCATTCTATGACTAAATTACTGCCAAACTGCCATATTCTGCTCTAATTGCTGTTAGAGTTGCAGCCATTAATTGCACAGGCTTATGGACACTGTGCTATTGCTTTCCATGAAGGATTCTAATTCTTAGGCTTGGTAAATACTATAAAGCAATTTGGCTTTTTTTTTTTCAAAATAACATGAGACACCTATCTTGGGATAAAACAGATTATTGGGAAGAAAGGAAAATGTCACTAATGAAATGAACCAAATTGTTTTCTAGAAACACCATCTGCCATGATAAATTTATTCTAAAAGACACACTTTACTTAACCAAATAAGTTTAATATGCAAGTTAATATTATATGTAAATAAAATACACAAATGTGTAATCATTATATTGAAGATGAATCTGGCTTGAAATGGCTTTTACTTTTAAATTGCCTGTTTGGAATGGCAGTATTTTAAAACTTGTTTGTTTTTCTTTAAAAAAATCTTATTTAATTTTATGTGTATGGGTGTTTTGCCTGCATGGATGTTTAGGTACTATATGAATGCTTGGTGCCTTCAGAGGCCAGAGAGGGTGGAGGATCCCATGGAAATGGAGTTACAAATGGTTGTGAGCCAATATGTGGGTGTTGCGAATTGAACCCAGGTCCTCTGCAAGAATAATCAGCACTCTAACTGCTAAACTATCTCTCCAGCTCCCCCTCCCCTTTTTGAGTATTTGAGGCAGGTCTTGCATAGCTTGGACTGAACCTTGCTATATAGCCAAGGATAGGTTTGAATCCTGATCTTGTTGCTTCAGATGGGATTACAAGTGTGTACCACTACATCTGGTTCAAGGTTTGGTTTTGAAGCCTAATATGCTTTATCATAAGAAGTTTTCAATGAGTTAATAAATACTGCTTGAAATTCAATATACATTATTTCATAGAAAATATGGTGAATGGGGATCTGTTATATTCTGAGTTGGGCTGGAAAGCTAGAGAGAACTATCCTGTGTCATAATAACACTAGAGAGCCTAATTAATTCATGTAACGGTGTTTCTGGGGCCCTCAATGCTGCTTGGTTGGTA